AATTAAAGCCACTGTCGTCGTACGTCTTCAGTTCGTCTGCAGATCTTGTCGTCGAGATCTCGTCGTCGTCGAGCAACGCCCACAGCACCGCCCCAGCGCCGTCGCCGCCCCTGAGCCGTCGTCGTCGAGAACTCTTCGCCGTCGTCGTCGAGAACTCTTCGTCGTCGTCGTCGAGAACTCTTCGCCGCCGTCCGTAAGTTTTGAAGTTACTGTTTGATTTTAGTACAGACCCTATAGTTTAAACTACTTTGCACTTAAGTACCCCCTTGTAACAATTAAAGCCAAAAACATTTATGAATTTGCAAATAAGTGTTGATTCTATTCTTTCCATCAAAAAATATTTATTTGATTGTTTAAAAACTTATACCAATCCCACTGATAAGTAATTGCTTATTATATACATGTTGCAATTATATATCCTACTTTACAATTAATATCCTTGTTTTGTTTAATTGCACTCAATTACATACAGTTTCCCCTACTTTGCACTTTGCCTTAAAGTACCCTATACATGTTGCAATTATATACCCTATACATGTTGCAATTATATACCCTATAAATGTGTGGTATTTACTTAAGTTAAATGAATTTTAAATGATTATTTCTTTAGCTATTCAGATGTACTTGGACAAAACCCACTTATCAATCCTCGTCAATAGGATGATAAGTCCCCAAAGTTGCTCCAATTGCAACACAAATCCTGTCACGTTAACACTACACCTCTGACAAAATCCACTTATCGACTCTCTTCAATAGAGCGATAGGTCCACAAACTCGTCAAGTTAACACCACACCTCTGACGACCAAATCAACTTATCGACTCTCTCCAATTGAGCGATAAGTTCTCAAAATTGCTTCCATAGCAATATCTTTCTTGTCACGTTAACACTACACCTCTGACAAAATCCGCTTATCGACTCTCTTCAATGGAGCGATAGGTCCACAAACTCGTCAAGTTAACACCACACCTCTGACGACCAAATCAACTTATCGACTCTCTTCAATAGAGCGATAGGTCCGTAAAATACTGTTATGTTAACATAACACCTCTAACAGTCAACCCCCCAATGAACTTGTTAATTCTTTCGGTGTTTCAAGCTACACAGGAAGAAATGACACCAAAAATCCATGCCTTCACGCATGGGGGACTTTATCTCGATCCCTAATTAGAGATAAGTCTGCATCTAACACATGCTGCCGGGTAGCCTATTCCCGCAATAATAGCAAAGCCTACGTATTCAATATCGTAGCAGGTCGTTATTAATAACGCCAAAATCCATGCCTTACACGCATGGGGAATTTTATCCTGAATCCTAAGTAGGGATAAGTCAATGTCTAACACACGTTGCCGGTTAGTCTTTTACCGTGAAAAGGACATCAAAATCCATGCCTCACACGCATGGGGGACTTTATCTCGATCCCTAATTAGAGATAAGCCTACGCCTAACACGCGTTGCCGGTTAGTCTTTTACCGTGAAAAGGACATCAAAATCCATGCCTCACACGCATGGGGGACTTTATCTCGATCCCTAATTAGAGATAAGCCTACGCCTAACACGCGTTGCCGGTTAGTCTTTTCCCGTCAAAATGACAAAGTCTATGTATTCAAAATCATAGCATCAAGTCTAAGAGGATTAATTCTCTTCGCACAACGTTACATGTGGAACGGACTTAGACAATCCACATGCTAGCCCGACTCAAACGGTAGTCGGTAAAGGCTTATCAAATCCGTTGATGGCTGAGGGTTTGCCAAAAATCCTACGCACATTTGCAGGCCCATCAGCTTAATAGATGTGAGTCGAGACTTAAAACAGATGCGCCAAAGACAAGTCTCAAAGACTTAGTTAAAAATACACGGAAGCCACTTCTATGTCTTAAGTCAAAATGTTGACCCGCGATGCAAAAAACCAAACGCCGAGGTCACACCTGTGTTCCAAATTCAACATGCAACGGTGAAACCCGCATCTCAAGTTCAAAATGCAGGGTCCACCCCCACATTCCAGAAGCAGGATTATGGCGCATACCTTCACACAGGTCCTGCATGGAAAATCCCTTCAACCAAGCTGCCTTCGAAGCGAGTGCAGAGAACAACTCCTTTGTGACAAGGAATCAACAGCTCCAAGATCAGAGTTGAGATCCAAAGTATTCCGAAAATTCGTCCCAGTCAACCGCGAACTTTCGAAAACTTTGGAGGGGGTTCTGTAGGCTGTCTAAAAATCACAATAGATAGCTTATCCCCCATCAAAACACCGATGATGGAAGTTATAATCTGACGACTTCCAGAAGGCTACAATTTGAGGACTTTCACGTAGAAGGTTACAATCTGACGACCTTCACGACAACTGATGAAAGCCCCAATTCAACAGCCTTCACAATCAACATCGGGAGTTACAATCTGACGATTCTCATATTTTCAAGGAGCCAAGACAAAGATTACAAGAGGATGATCTGTGCAAAACTCTGGCAAAAGAGACTACAAATTGACGGTCTCTTCATATTAGAATGCAGATATCTCTCAAACCGTAAGGAATTTGGTGAAACGGAGGAAGCGAACCGAAGCCTTCGGCTCCGTTCGGATGGCCCCGTCTCGTCGAGATAGCCGATTTTCATATATAATTCGTCTAATTCCGAGGCTCGGTTCGGATGGCCCCGTCTCGTCGAGATAGCCGATTTTCATATGTAATTCGTCCAATTCCGACGTACGGTTTGAAAGTTATGACCTGTTCTTCATAGCAAGTTGTGTTCTGAAGTCCGTCTGCAAGACTGGACTTCGTCAGAACATTGGACTTAGCCTGAAGCTCGCCAAGCCCGCTTAAGGTTCGCCTCTGCATTACAGAGTCAAAACGCACATACTCAACTCTGCGTTTTCAACATCAAAAAGCAGAGTTAATCTCTAAAACAGCACAACTGTGCGTTTTCAGCCTCAAACAGGCTTAACTCTGCGTTTTCAACATCAAAACGCAGAGTTAATCTCTAAAACAGCACAACTGTGCGTTTTCAGACTCAAACAGGCTTAACTCTGCGTTTTCAACATCAAAACGCAGAGTTAATCTCTAAAACAGCACAACTGTGCGTTTTCAGCCTTTAAACAGGCATAACTCTGCGTTTTCAGCCTAAAACGCAGAGTTCATCTCTAAAACAGCACAAGTGTGCGTTTACAGGCCCAGCTGTGCGTTTTCAGCCTCAACTGTGCGTTTACAGGCCCAGCTGTGCGTTTTCAGCCTCAACTGTGCGTTTCAGGTCCAGAAACGCACAGTTCGGGCCCTGAACGCTATTTTTCAGCGTTTGACTCATTCAAAGCACGTAATGAACAGTTCCAGGAACTGTTTTCCCCCACGTTCTGAGGGATTTCCGCCCCACTTAGGAGCGGATTAAGGGGGTAGTTACCACCCTTAATCCCCTATAAATAGGGGAAAACTCAACTGAGTTCCAGCGTTTAACTCGTTCAAGCACGATTTGAACGGTTCCAGAACCGTTTTCTCCCCAAGATTTTAGGGGATCACTACCCTATCATGGAGAGATTTATGGGGAGCAGTTAGACCCCATTAAACCCTCATTAAGGAGATATTTAAGGGGGCGGTTATACCCTTAACCCCCTATAAATACCTCAAAACTCAACTGAGTTCGGATCCTCTTTTTTTTGGAGGGGGGAGCTGACTTTTTGGGGATCCTTGATCGAGCATCTTGCCGCGTTCTGCAGCAACAAGGAGTTTTGGAGACCAGCAACAGGAGCTTCTTCCTTGGCTTATTAACCGAACTTTCGGTTCAAATCAACTCTTTTTCAAGAGTTCAAACTCGTTCAGAGTTATCAACTCGATCAGAGTTCAAAACTTACTCTACGAGTTCTTCTAAAACTCGTTCAGAGTTATCAACTCGTCAAGAGTTATTTCAAAACTTGCCACGCAAGTTCTCCACAGCGTCAAATCGTGAGGAGAAGACATCGTTCCAGTGAATTAAGACGTTCGGATCGTCAACGGAAAGCAAACTCGACGCGAGCATTCGAGGGAGGCATCTCATCGCCACCGTGAAGAACCCAGAATTAAACAAAGGGGAGAATCAAATTCATTCTCCTCTCTTTTGTAATCGGAATCCAAATTGTAATTGATTTTGAGAGGAATACAAGTCAAATTTTTCTTTCATTATTTCTTTTACTGCAAATTTCCAACAAACAAAACCCAACAGCAGCAGCAAAGGCAAGGAAAACCAGCAGCAGCAGCAAATGCTGCACAAAGCAACCAGCAGCAGCAACTGCTGCACAAAGCAACCAGCAGCAGCAACTGCTGCAGAAAGCTCAAAACAGGCACAAACAGCAGCAAATGCTGCACAAAGCAACCAGCAACTCATGCTGCTGCAGAAAACTCAAAACAGGCACAAACCAGCAACCAGCAGCAGCATGAGTTGCAGAAAGCTCAAAACATGAGCTCACCCAAACTGCAGCATCAGCATGAGCTGCAGAAAGCTTACCTGATATCAAAATATAATCGGAAAATTCAAAGAAATCAATGATCATTCCACGACCTTACCTGCAACAAAGATTGCAAATATACCAATTCATCAATCCCACACCGACATAGATGTTCTTCAGAATGAAAATACAAATTGCAACATTAATAGTTTGCAATAAACACAACAATATCCAGAACGTAATATAATCGAAACCCAACAAACTAGCTATCCGGCCAACCTTGGTCGTTAACTAATTTTGTGATGTACCTCTGTTGACCTTCCTTAGATTTAATGAAAAACCTCCTACCTTCACGTTCATTGTCATATAAATGGTCTAAAACCCTATCGAGGAACTCCTCGGAATATTCAGACCTATGTTCCTTCAACGCTGTGGCCAACTGCTCAGTCCAGTGTATAACGTGTTGATTCCTCATTGACTGAGACATGGACTCAACAAAGGCACACATCATCAGCTTTATACTTATAAGTCATATATCAGAAATAGGGCACGTCCAGAAGGGTCAATTGCTGAAGGATATATAGCAGATGAATGCATGACTTTTTGCTCAAGATATCTAAAAGGCTTCGAGACAAAGTTTAATCGCCTTGAAAGAAATTATGAAGATGACAATAGAGAATGTAATGAAGCACAACTATCTATTTTCAGACATAGTGGGCGGGCATTGGGTGCTGCCACCACCCGCTACCTTGATGAACGTGAGTGGTTGCAAGCTCATATTTATGTTCTAAAGAACTGTGATGAAGTGCAACCACACATTGAGTAAGTCACTAAAGTTTAAGATTCTACTAATAAATTTACTATAGTTAGTCAACGTTAATCATATTTATGATATTTTAATGTAGGGACTACAATGAATTCGTGAGAGAACCCACAAATCACTATGATGATAAAGATTGGGATAAGAACTTTATCGAGTGGTTCCAAGCTCTAGTACGTATATATCTTGCCTTATTTTTTAAATATCTTGATTGGTTCATTTTATTACATGTTCCATGACTTGATCATATTTTGGTTTTGTTTAGGTTTATCAGAGTTATCGAGAAGATGATGACTTACTTTCACTATCTCGTGGTCCAAGTAAGATTGTTAAATGTTTTACTGGATTTGTCATAAATGGACATCGATTTCATACAGAAAGTCGAGATAATTGTTTGTCAACTCAAAGTAGTGGGGTTGCAGTTGTTGGTGATGCTGGTGATGGTGGAGATATAGATTATTATGGTGCTTTGGTTGAAGTTGTCGAATTAGAGTATCCTGGTAGAAGAAAGGTTGTTCTATTTCGTTGTAAATGGTGGGATGTGCACGGCAAAGGAAAAGGGACCGCTTTGAAAGAAGACAAATATGGATTTATCAGTATTAACTGCCGACACTTGCTAAAGACGAATGACCACTTTATACTTGCTGGCCAAGCATCACAAGTTTTTTATGTTGAGGATATTGCCAATGAAGGTTGGCATGTAGTTCTTAAAGCACAACCCCGTGATTCCTATGATATGCCACCAGATACAGATGATTGTGGGATAACAGACGATGGAGTTGAAGCTTATTTGCAAGATGAATCATTTGATGCTCAGGCTATTGCATCAACATCATTGGAAGATGATTATATCAATTTGAGAAGGAGTGATATTGATCCAATTATTGTAAATTCGGTCTCAACTTCAAAAAAGAGGAAAAAGACTCAAGCAGAGAATTAGAACGCTTTAATTAAAGAATAGAACACAAATGATATTGTGTTATTGAGATAAAATTTAAGTTGTATCTTCACTATAACTATTCCTTTTTTAGACATATGATGTTCTTTTCTTCATATTTTGGATGTGGCTTTGACATTGCAGCAAGTGCTTCTACATTAGTGTATTATGTATTTATTGTTATGCTTGTCCTTCGTGATATCTTCTTCTTTTATTCATTTCTCTTTTGATATTTGTTTCATACATAGTGTGTAATACTTAAATTCCTTTTCATAGCAGGAAAATGAAAACTCAAGAAGTCACTTCCAAAAGCAAAAGGGCACAATTTTTAGCACCCAGGTCATTAATTAGGAAGCGACTTCAAGCAATTGCAGAAAATTCATTAAGAAGGGAACAACTCCGTACTTGTCATGACAAGAACTTGAATATTCAAAATCCAATACAAGATCAAAATATGGGTACAAATTTTAGTGCTGATTCAGAAAACTTTGAAGAGGAGAATTTTGCACAAAATCGCAGGAGAAGTGCAAATACTAACAATGAAGAGAATGATGATTCTGCAGGTTGATGAGACTTAAAATTTATTATTATTTGTTTTTATCTTTCAATTTATTTTTTATGATTGGATTAATAATTGCTCAATTTTTGCAGAATCAGATAATCATCGAGTGCAAACTGATGATGCAATACTAAATATAATCATCGAGTGCAAAGTGATGATGCAATACTAAATGAATCTCGACAAGAAGGTATATTCTTTATTAATTACAAGAAGAAATATTTTTATCAATTTCTTTAACTATATCTTGTTTCTAACATATGATATGATGTATGCAGCTGATAATTCTCAAAGGAAGAAAAATCCACCTCGTGGTAGTAATAAGTGTCTAAAGTTGAATAATTTGTCACATGGGGAGAAAAAAATCATTACTTTTTATCAGAATAGAGCTATTGAACCAGAATTTTCACGATATCTTGGAATTATTATTCGAGATAGAAATATTTGCCCAGTAGCTGTTGAGAATTGGGCCAAAATACCATAACAAAATAAAGATCATATGTGGGCATCCATTAAGGTACATTGAAAATTAATTTTTTACAATTGGTTTTTAATTCTTATAAATTAAATTTTGATTCAAATTTGATATAGGATAAATTTGATGCTGATGACATGGAGCAAAAGAGAGAGTCAGTAATGAGACACTTGCGCGATTTGTGGAATAAGTGGCGTGGTGACATGCACAGGAAATATGTGAAAGAAAATTCATTGCAAGATGCACTTAGAAATAAACCTACAGAAGTGAGTGTTGATGACTGGGATTGGCTAGTTAAGGAACATTATTTTTCTTCAAAATTTCAGGTATTAATCTCCTAATTTTATTAATTTTGTTCCATGTATATTGTTGGATTGTTGAAATTATCTTTTAATCTTGATGTATAGAAAGCAAGCCAACAAAATACACTTAACAGAGGCAAAAGAAAGATGCTCCACCACACGGGCAACAAATCCTTTAGACAAATTGCGTGGGAATTGGTATACATTCAAAACTAATTTCCTATTTATTTATAACTACTTTGTTTTTGAGTTTGATGTTGTACTCATTTGTATTAATATTTGAATAAGGGTGGCAAGTCAGGAAATCCACCTGATGTGGCAAAAATGTTTCATGAAACTCGAAAGAAAGCTAATGAAACACTAGATATTGGGGATCAAGATAAATATGTAAGTAGAATATGTGTTTAAGTTTGATAATGATGCATTATATAGTACTAACATACGAATTTAATTTTTATAGGATGAAATTGTTCAAGTCAAACAAGCAAACCCTTCACTTTCTGACATTGAGATAGTTGAGAAAATCTGGGGGAAGCAATCTCATGGTCACATCATTGTATTTGGTGGCGGGACTACTTTGAAATATTTGAGAGGACCGCTCCCTAGTCGATCTGATCTGGAAGCACGGGTTATAGAAGAAAAGAGAAAGAACCAGATGCTTCAACAACGCTTAGATGAGCAGGAGCAACAAGAACAAAGGATGTCTGAGTTGGAGTCACAAGTGAAAGAGATAGTTTTATGTATTTTTCTTTGGAACAATTAGGATATTAACTCTTATTATTAGTATTGAATATTTGAGGATGGTGGAATTTTATTTATTTATGTTATTAATGGAATTTTTATTTTCCCTCTTGTTCATTATTGGGTATTTTTAATATATTTTTGTTGTGAATCTTAGTGTCAGGTTGAGAATAATATGATAGTTGCCTATGAATGGAAATTTTATTATTAATGATTATTAGAAATTTGTAGTCTACAATGACGGTTTTATAAACTGTATTTTGTTCATCAACGAAGGGAAAGCACCGTCGTTGATGGGTTACTAATTACCCATTATGAGGACTTTTACGACAGTATCCAACCGTCATTAATTAGTTTTCAACGATGGGAAAATATCCCTGTAACTAATGGTAACGACGGGAAAATATCCCCGTAACTAACGGTAACGACGGGAAAATATCCCGTCACTGATGGTAACGACGGGAAAATATCCCCGTTACTGATGGTAACGACGGTGATAATTACCGTCGTAAATATTAACGACGGTAATATGTTCCGTCGTTATAGACTCTATAACGACGGGTAGTATATCCCTTCGTGACCCTTTAGCGAAGAGGGCTTCAACAACGGGTGACGAAGGGATTTTCCCCCGTCGTTAGCATACAATAACGAAGGTTTTTAGCTCTTTAACTCGCACCTGGATTTGTGATAGCTATCACTTCGTTATCGCCTCACTGGGGATTTGTTAAATCAGTGTAATTTGATACTATTGAAGAATTAGCTGGCAGGGACTCTGGTTGTGAGATTGGCTAACTGCACATGATTTGATTTGTTAGGGAGTTGGTTGTAGATGCTGGTGTTAGACCCTAGAGGGGGGGGTGATTAGGGTCTTATGCTAATCTAATCTGATTAAATACCAATTAAAATTAATTAATAAGTTATCCTAGCAAGTATGAAATACAACAATGTATATGAGCTAGGATAAGTAATATGAACAACAAGATATATCCTAACAAAGAGATATAGGTAATGTATGTGCAACGATGTATAAACTCAAGGGTAAACAATCTAAACTAGATAGTGGGCAATATAATCAACAAGCAATATACAAAGGCGATATAAGATATGAACATGAAAGTAAGTGCGCCAATGCAATCACAAACAAACAATATGATTACGGAGTTCGGTCCCCACGACCTACGTCTCCGCTCCTCACCTCGAGGAGATCTCCACTATCATAACCGGGTTTTCTACGTTCACCCGAACAACGTTTACACCTCACAATACAATCACTATGCAAACACATCTTACACACTAAGTGTTGGTCCTAGCCCGTGTCCTCCTCCTCAAGTGCTCGGTTACAACCTCTCCCTAGGCACGTCAGCCGACGCCACTCCTCTTGGATTCGACCCCGTCTCTCACCACACACTCCTCTCGGTGTACAAGTGTATTACAAGTGAATCCTCACAATAAGCACAATATAACAAATGATTGTTCTATCTAATAAGGTGAGAACTCAATTAGGCTCAACTCAATATCACACAATCCCATAACCCAATTATATAATGTATGCAAATACAATAAGCTCAATGGTTGTGTGTGTAAACAAAGAGTAAATCAAATCAAACTAAACTCAATATAAAACTAGCTTATGGAAATTATAATCAAAATAATAAATTGCTAGATAAGTTTAGAAACACTTCTCTAAAGATGACAAAAGAGTGGGAGAAGAGTGAATACTCAAACACCAGAGGATGATCTCCACTTGCTCTTGTGAAATTTGCTTCACAAACAAAACTCTTAAACACTCTTTTAAACAAGATGATCTCCACTTGCTCTTGTGAAATTTGCTTCACAAACAAAACTCTTAAACACTCTTTTAAACAAACATAAAACACCCTTAAACTTGTTTAAACAATGCTTCACAAACAAAACTCTTAAACACTCTTTTAAACAAACATAAAACACCCTTAAACTTGTTTAAACAAATCCCTATAGTTAGGTTGAAAGAGAACAGCAATAGGGTACTTATACCCACTCATAAACTCTGCCAAAATCCCTAACAAAAGACAAAAATAGCCCCAGCAAACAGCTCAGAAAAATAGCCGTTGGAAAAGCAACGGATCTATTGTTGGTCGATCGGCGGAAATAAAAATAAACATAGAATAGGGAATAGCTCCCCCTATCAAAATGCCATATTGAAGATATGCAATTATGAACACGGCAAACAAATGTGAGCAAGCATAAATAAAAGACATGCTAGATATCTCTCACATACAAACAAGATAATGAGAACACATAATGATATGTCATGATAAATAGGTGTCTCAAAATACAAGCCTAAAAACCATGTATAAAAAATAGATTTATAAAATCAAAAGAGAGAAAACATGAGAATCATGAAAAAAGAGTTTTCGAATGAAAACAAATCAACCAAATGAAATCATAAATCAACCATTTAAACCAAAAATAATGTTTGATCAACAAAAAAAAATTCTTTTGTAATAATGGTCCATTAGCACAAACACATAAATATCATCATATAAGTGAATTATAATGAATTCAAAAGCAACAAATCAAAACACAATTTTTAAGAGAGGCAACAATTATATCAAGCTATTGAGCTTGTTCCAACCAATATAATCATTTTAGCATCCGATAAACTTGATTTGGGAATAAACACCCAATAAACCCGGAGGGTTATATAAACACAAACCTCTCATCAAAATCAAGACTAATAATTATGAAAACAAAAGATTTGATAAAAGAAAAATTATTTTCATAACAAAAAGATTCCATTTGGACGCATTTAGTGCACGGGTCTGGTCATTTCAATAATTATGCAAATGACCCATTCGATTGCAATAAGTGCAATGAAGAGGATGTATTTTGTTATGTTGATCATGTGAATGTACACGAGGAACATTTGCAAATAAAGATGGTATTTTAAGATTATTTTGTAAATGAGAAACATTTTTAAACAATGTTGGTCTACTTAAAATATTTTGCGATTTAGAAACTTTTCGCAAATCAAAACAAAACTTAGCTAAGTGACCAACTCTACCACAAAAATCATAATGATACACATGAGCATGCTTAT